TCGAGGCTGTGGTCTGTCTGTTAATAAACAATTTATCACGCCTAAAATTAAATGTTTTTGTTGACTACTTACAGCTGTTCAAATAAAAAACAAACTCCTGAGCACCTATTCAGAAAAAAGTTAATCGTACACAATTATCGAGGACGCTCAACGACCATTTGTCAGTTTGTTTGGAAAAAAATATCAAACTATTATAATATCTAACATCGCATTGTCATTTAGATAATTTAGCTCTCCGTCATTATTTAATTCCTTGGATTGTAATTTTAAAACTTTAACTGTTATAAAATATTTAAAGGTAAATTTGTTTAATGAATTATTATTGTTATATAAATCAAAATATAAAAATTGATACTTCTTGTAAAAGTATTGCCTTCCATTTTCCATAAAAAAAAATGCAGAAATAAAAAAATTGTAAATCTACTTTTAAGTAATTAAACTCCTTCTCAAAAAAGCTCTATTACCATTGACATGATCAACAAGATTTTCTCGATGATTTTTTATCAAGTATTGCCTCACACAATAAAAATGCCGATAAAAATAAATATTATTTTCAAAAAACAAATTTCACTAAATTTCTAAGTAAAAATTCTTTGTTATTAGTTAATATATTGTTGGTAGACTATCAAGCGCTTATTTGCTATAGATTTTTTCAAAAAATAGGCCTCCTATAAGTTAAAAGCAATTTAATGATTCTTAGTTTTTGGGGTCCTAACTAATTTTATATTTGTAAAATTACTTGGATTAATAATTTGAATATAATTTCAATGTTTAAAGTCTAAACCGCTTAATAATCGACGTATATTTTCTAACCATCGATCTATCCAATATCATCGATGCAAGTATGCAACCTTCATTGAAGATTAAGGACAAGTTGAATATTTTTAATCCTTGTTTTTCTAAAAACTAATTTATATCCTTATCAAATATTTTTGCTTCGATGCGGAACTGAAAGGCTATTTTTCTTGATTATTTTATCCACAAGTGTTTGTACTTTACCGGTTTTTTATATTCATTATATTTTATACTTTTATTTGTTTTTAGCTTATAGCTTCGATACGGTCTTCCTCTTCCTCTTTTACCCTCAATTCATCTTCATAACACCTCTCACCGCCTCTGCCTCATCTCTTCTCATAACATGACCGAACCATCTCAACCTATTCTCTCTCATTTTCTCCACAATTGAAGCAACTCCTAGAATCCCCCTTATGTATTTATTTCTTATTCTATCCTTCCTTATATTATACTTATATTGTGTATAAATGTGTTTGAATAAAATAATACAATTTTTCTCTTGAATGCAAATAGTTAGTTTAAATAATATTTAGTAGCCGTTTTGCTTAAAGAGACTAGAAGTTAATAAAATATGATTAATTAATTAACTAACCGTTAATCATTATGCTTAAGGATTGGTTATACAATGACCAATAAAACAAAATAGTAGGTATTATATTGATGTTAATTTTTATCATTGACAATAAGAAGCTACATTACAACTTGGAGCAAATACCTAATGCATTATAAAAGTGATCATGTGGTGATAATTTAGTAGTCTTGTAAAAGTCTTGTGTACATTAAATTGTATTTAAATACTTTAAAAAATATAAATATACATACAGATAGTTTTTTATAATATTTAAAAATTGTGTACAAAATATTTGATAAAAACAAATTAATAAAACCATATTGTTCATATAATGTTGTTGTACCTGTTATTGCATTATTTTTGTATTGAATATTAATCATATAGATTTTATAAAACAATGTTGTGTTACTGATGCATATATTTTTGATGACTCATACGATTTCAATCACTTTTTTTTGTACATAAATTACTCCCTAAATGTATTAAAAACACGGGGCTCCTTAAATTATATTAATATAGAGTACCTATGTCATAAAAAAAATACATTTTTAAAAACAAACTGACATTTACAAACAATATGATGCTTTTGGTTTATTTCTTTTAAGTTACAAACGTGTTTATCGACAATATGTCTTATATACAAATACTGGCATACTTAAAAAATATATTTAAAATAATTTTTTTGAATACATTTAAAGTATTTGGATCACGTTGTCGTATACTTGAATAATATTTAAATACTTTTACTCGAATTCCTTTCAATAATGCAATTTATGTAAATTTTTGTACGTGAATGTCAGATAATCGCCGTACATTAACATTGACACACTTGTATTTTTTTGTGATACAAGCGAATTATATTTTCCTTATCGATGTGAGGTATGATCATGGAAAAAATATGCCTAGGTGTACAAACTAAATATTTGGCCAACATTGTGACAAGCAGATTTTATAGTTGACTTTATAGGTACTGAATAAATAGTTCATTACACTAAATTTGTAGTTAAGGCAGCCTTAGCTTAGCTGACTTGACCACATGTTTAGCTGAATGAACTATTTATTTAGTAAAGTAAACTATAAAATCGGGTTGCCGCCATGGTAACCCATTAGCATTTTTTCCGCGTTTTAGCTGTGCGCATAGCTTTTTCCTAACTGTATATCCCGTCATAACACAACGCAAATTAGCATCCCAGAATAAAATCTAATAACATGAACATATATTTAACCTTCAAAACTCTGAAATGCGTGCAAGTGGATTTTCTTTTATAATATTAACTTTTATAAACAACCATTGTAACTCCCCAAAGGTTAATTTTAGCGACGCGACTCCTTGTAATTCCATCAAATAATTACAATACCGAATATTTAACACACCGTTTGTATACTGCGGTGTAATGTATTTTTAAAAATTTTTTTTATTGAAAACAGTTTTACCATAATCTAAATTAAATATTAAATTGCTGTAGGTAAAAATATCATTAATCGATGGATATATTTTCATAGTGACGTCTACGATACTAATAAAACAGCTGTTGTTATTACGCGCATAATCTCCAGAGAGCTACGAATTATCTTAATGCGATTTCAGACGTCATAGAGCCAAATCAGACATACCAACGTAATTGGCCCACAATTGGTTTGATAAAAAATTACAGTTATTCACTATCGTTACCGACCGCCGAAATGGTTATGCAAATAAATCTTTTTGATCGGTTGCGAATATGTGTAAAAGTATAACGTACAGTACGAACTAAACGTGTCCGCTATTACCGATTATTGGACTACCCCAAGTATAACCGGCGAGTTATGAATTTGGTGAGTAATTTTCTGCGCCGAGAGGAAGCTAAACCACATGTTATATTAGAATTAAATTCAGATGATTTCTCGATAACAATGTTATGCCTAATATAATAATATGTAACTATACAACTTCTATGTAACGTTAAAATTGTCCTTTTCTTATACTACCGAACGCAGAGAAATGCTTAATAATATTCGTAAATAACTCTTACAGCGCCGTTATTTTAGCTATTTTTTTAATTACCTATAAGAATAACATATCTCAAGAGATAAGACTGTTTTGGGGAATTGAGCAGTTTTCTTAACGTTAAGTGAATCTAAACACAATCAAGTCACATTCCCAGCTTTAAGACTTAACGTACACACGAACATACAGTTTTTAATGCGTTTCGGGTTCGCACCAATGAAATATACTGCCAGAGACTTGGAAATCGTTTATAACAATAAGCCAATTTGTGCACTGTGATGTTTGACATCGAATCTCGTTGGTTTTTACAAAATAATAATACAAATATTCCGTTTTTTTTTGTTTACCCCGGACAAAGAATTCGGTACATACTCAAATCATGTTTATTATTGTAACTCTATTAAATGTATTGTGCATAGACCGTACACTTAAAGGCAGTACGTTAGGTCGTTAATACACACTACGGGGCACGCCGATTGTTTTTTAAGTGAAAACCACCTAACATTAAAATGTCGTCTTTAAAGGAGGTCTGACGACATTGGACAATCGTCTGGTATTTTACATTGTTTAAAACCCTGAAACCGCTGAATAATAAAATATTAAAAAAAAAAAAAAACATTATAGAATGCGATCAACTATAACACTAAACTACTAAAGACGGTTAACTGTGATCGGTGTCGCACGTCATGAAGATATTACCGGGAGATATAATTATAATGAAATTAGTCAGCGGACTGTAACCGCGGTTTGTAAGCGTTAACGATCATCATTTCGAAACCTCCAATAAGCCACCGGTACGATTAATGCGATTTTTGAAAATTTGTCCGTAGGTATGCACATTTCACATTATACACTGTACGATAATTACAATAAAAAAAATTATTTTCTGAATTGCCCGTTCGAACGAGTTCACGCGATAAACAATCATCTGTTTAAATATAATATACACTATCAATATTACATATATGTATACGTACTATAATTAATAATACTGATAAAAAACACGCTTATATTATTATATACCGACGGAACTGAAAGTATTCTTTATTGAGATATAAAGTCAGATATATAGCGTTTACACTTAAAACTTATCAGAAACAAAATAAAATCATTATGGTAATATAATTGTAAAAGGTAAAAAAAAATAAAATATGTTAAACCGATGTAGTTGATGAGCACGTATTTCGGTCATTTATAATTTTTTTTTTGTAATCTAATATTCACAACAAATTAACAGGTTATGCTGGACCAAAAAAAAAAAAAAATGTTTGGGACAACCAAATTTATAAACATATTATAACGTAAGTGCTACCCCACAAAAAAAAAAAAAGAAAAACAGTGTCATAACATTACATAACATAAAATAAAATAATAATAATTACGTGCTAATGAAAATCGTCTAAAAAATTGCACATAAAATATATACGTTTTTATACAAAAATATTTCACTAAACAAAAATAATTTATTTTGTTTTTATATAATAATAATATTACGATAAAATTAATTAAAATTTAGCTAAATTAACTATTTAATATAATATATATTTTTAATTAACAACAAAAAAAATTTAACATAAAAATACTATGTACACAATTTGATATATAAATATATTTATTTAAAATAATTAAAATCAACTATCAATAAATTTAATTTATAAATGTATAGGTGTACACACACACACTATTTTTTAACATGATAACTTCATATTTTTTAATACTTTAGGAAATTATTCCTAAGCAAGTAACATAGTTTTATAATTGTATAATACGAACAATAATAAAAGTTTGCAGCTCGAGTGCGTATCAAAAGGCACAGGCGATTGTTTAAGAAATATATAATATAATTTTGGCACTTACAACGATTAATATTGAGATTAAAAGTTAATAAAATTTTGATTTAATATAATACAATGTAAGGTTATCAAAACAACATCACTTTTATCCGATATATAATAATGATTATCTCTTATTTATAAATTGGTGTTATTTTTTTACTATTCATTCGTCAGTCGTTTTTTTTTCTTCGCAGAAAATTTATACAATTTTCCTCCGACCGCAATTCGTATTCGTTATCTGCAACACACAATAAGAAAAAAACTTTTGGTTAACACCAAACTATACATTTGGTAAAACTGAAAATTTGTTGAGCGAGTTCAATAGGTCGGTAAACGTTGTACGATAGACGTAGTGCTCAGGCATGATGCGTGCATAATTAAAAGTATTTAAGTGTTCACTTACAGAAAACGCATATGGTAAACATCACGGACTAGCTGTCGACATTGAACTAAAATAAAAATAAAACTCTTAAACGTATTGTATTTGCACCTGAAAACATAATTTGTTCTATGATAATCATCGTTGTTATGACTGTAATTTAGAGTCGTGTCATTATGGAAAACGTTAAAAATGAAAGCCAATCTGCGAGCGTTAGGTATATAGATGATAAAAAAAAAATTTTTTTTTTTTTTTCCCACATATCAGATTAGTTAAAATTGTTATCGTTTTCCCAGTGTATACTAACTGCAGTAGCACTCACCATTAGTCGATATATATGTACAGAATTACCCCGACGGCAAGTACTAAATTATTTGGACTTCATTTGTTGACTCTGAAACAATATAAAAGAAGGTTCGGTGTAATGATAATGTAATTAATAATTCGACGGTTATAATATATAGAGATACTCTAGAGAGTTGCCCAACACGCGAAAGTACCGAGATTGCCTATCCGGGACGCCTGGATAAAAGGAACACAACGCGCATTTGGCCGGTTTACACACATGACATAATTTAAACATCCAATGTAATGAAAAATTATACATAAATATATACTTACAATTTGCGTTGCCTGCACCCCGATTAATTTCTGCAACTTTTGCAACTGTTGGACCAACGTCCCGTTGCTCTCTTCGAGGTTGACGATTTTCTTTTTGTACTCGCTGTTCTCGGTAACCAATATTTCTACTTTCCTCTCCAGCGAGTCCATGTATTCTTTTTTCTTGCGCCGACTCTCTTGGGCGGATATCTACACGGCAAATACAGCGACATTAGTAATCAATTACGAATTGTATTGTCTACATTGTTAGTACGGAGGTAAATTTTCATTAGACATACTATCCAATTGTATCTATCAGCCTACATATATTTATCTTGATGGACATTTTAATCTATATGGGCCATTAGTGTGATAAAACGGAGCTTATTGAAAGGATAAAATTCAAAAAAATAATATACTTCAATGCTTCCCAGACCTAATATGTGTGCGCGAATTGGTATATTATAATTTAATTAACTTTATGCGTCACCTTGTTTTTAATTTTTCTCCTGATCTTCTTCAGCGATTTTTCCTCGGCCTTGGTCAGAGGCAGTCTGGTGGGTATCGGGTAGCCTTCGGCCAGCAGCGTGCGCTTCTCCTCCTCGGTGAGTACCAGCGCCCCGGTGGAACCCTTGGGCTGACAGCTGATCAAAGGCGTCTGGATGGGCTGCCGGCTACCGCTGGTGCCGCCGACTGACGACGTGGAAGAAGAGGACGATGACAGGAACAGCCGCCGCGTGGGCGACGACCGATGGTGTGGCGATATGTTACCGCCCTCGCTGTCGCTGGATGTGGACGACGGTGGCGTGGGTGGCAGTGTAAAACCTTAAATAGATAATAACAAAATGTATGTAGCGTACAGTTGATTTAACGATGGAATCCAGGATATACCTGTACCACCTTCCATTTTTATACCAAAGTTTGGTAGGATTATTTTGTGTGACTGGTTGAGGAAAGCTCTGGAGGTCAACACGACCGTGGTGGGTTTTTCGTAACCAGTTTTCTGCAACTGCAAAAAAAAAGTTATACATTTATATATATATATATACGGTTATATACAAACATTTGTACGCGCTAATACTACGCGGACATTTGCTAAGACCGTCGCCAACCGTAGTTGTCTTAACGGCCGTTGTAACATGGGTACCAGAAAATATATACGATACTTATTAAAATTGTTCACCAGTATTTACAATGAAACGCATTCGTGGTGTTTTTATATGTATGTGTTATGTAAAATCACTATCTGCGAATGAGGGTTAAAGAAAATCAACAAAAATAAAGGACCTTAAAATTATTAACTACTAGTGAGCAAGTACACATACATTTTTCGAAATATTCAAAAACATGTATTAAATTACAAACACATCAGGAATATTATTAGAATTTTTAATTTAAGTAAGTTATGATGATTATTACTCATGTGTTTGATTAGGTAATAGATGATATTAACTGACAGGATATCCGATTGGTGACAACGTATTTATTACATTATACACATTAGTATGTCGCACGCTGTGTGTAATAAATAATATTGTTGTAGTCAACCGGTTAATTTTTTTGAAATTCGGAATATGATATATTCACGATAAACCGTCTTGGGAGATCGTGTTAAAATATGATGTTATCAAGGCGCATGATATATTATATCCAAAGCGATACCCATGGGCCATAGCGTGTAAATGTACATATATTATATTATGTATATGTGTCTCACCTATGTGTCTGGAATCGATTTTCACGTCGCAAATAATAAATGGTCGCGTGAGTGCCGCACCGCAATTGGTTTTAATAATATATTAATATCCTATTTCCGAGTGGGTAATACGATTCGTCGGCGGTTTTTCTTTGGGGGCGAATAAAATCCGGAAAACACGTTCATAACTTAAGTGTGTTTTTTTGCTACTGGAGTGGCACGCAAACGGATTTCGGATGGGGCCGTTAAAAAAAAAACCAATGCTATTTCCTTCAAGCGTAGAGGAGCTAGCTAATAAGGGAGAGCTGTCCGTGATTATTGTCGCACATTAAGTAGCGGTAGACAATTAAAACGGCTAAACGTTGGGCTGCTTGTGAAACGTTATTAGTGGGTATCGTTTTTAACGATGAATCACCTATTAAGAGGACACGCCAATATTAGTCATCCGGGACGTCTCGCGCAATCGTATGACAACCGAGCCCGGACCATAAGCTGTTGTATCTCTCGTGTATAATGATCATTTTTACTTTATTACTTCGGTAAGACACGCTCTCGTGTGTTTAACGATCGTCGAGAAAACCGTTTGCGTTATTACTGCGGTTGGCGTTAAATTACAATCAATAGAACCCGATCAATTAAAACCGACGGTACCGTTTCTCTGGACTAACCCGGATTTCTCTTTCTCCGCAAATCCAATATGCTTTGGACAGCGGCTGTCTATATCGGATCGCCACGATAATAATTGCTGCCCATGCCCGACATTTGAATGGTACCGACTTTTTTATTCTAGAGCGGGCGTCGACGTCGGAGGGAGGAGAGGATACGGAGGACGACCGACTCCACTTGCTCCCGCTGAAATTATGCCGCTTTAAATGGTAAATTCTAAACCGACGTTATAAAAAAAACCTTTTTTTTTAAGCCATAATATTACTTATTTTTCATTATTATTGTTACTGTCGACAATAATATATGGTCAAGGTCACTAAACGTGTTTGTGTCGATCGAAGGACGTCTGCGCAATTACACAACGTAGGCGCGAAACGGCCGACTGACGCACACACATAATATAGGCGCACGCTGAACTAAATAGAAAATAGTCCGGGTATCCGGGTATGAAGTCGGGAAAGTCACCGCCAACGACTACGGCTGCCAAGTGCAGTGCGGCGATACAGGTGTAGGTCGGGGGAAGAACAATATTGTATATTACCTTGCTGTAGTGTGTGGGGACGTCGGCGACTGAGCAAGGGGACGGCGGACACGAAGACGTTTCGACGTATTCCTGGTCGCTCATGGGTTCGTCTTTGACCGACACCGAGTCGTCTTTGATGCTTATCATCTCTATGTTTCCCGTCCGGTCGCATCTCACCTCGTCGAAAGTCAGCTTGCACGTCCTGTCCTGGTTGCTGTCGTCGTCCAGATCTGTGGGCGCAAAAACCATAATAAACGTTTTGATATCAATAAATTGTGATTTCACAATATAACATTAACGAGTCGTCGCCGCCATTGCTGTACAATGTAGTTGTAAGATGTGTTAAAAATGTAGACGTTATACTAGTTGCGCGGTAGGCACTCAATGCGAAAACTGTCCTAACAAAGATGTTCGTAAAAAGATACACGAGACAATATATTCCGGCGTGTTTTTTGTTTTCGTTGGCGTTTGTTTTTAAATAGGTGAATACGTCATGACGCCACACTTACGTATACAGTATATACAGAATGTGAATTCTGTATACATGGTCTGAATACATTGCGGTACATACACCGATTTCAAAATGTGTATACGCGAAACATTACATTTATATACTTCAAATATATATAATATAAAAATATGTATTTTGTATAATTATAAAAATAATATGAAATGCAAAAAAACAATGGAACAATTTCTATTTTTAAAGCAAAATTATTGTAATTGTAATTTTTATAGCAATGCTCAATGTTATTTATAAATGTACCTAATTTAAAAATCGCGATGATACGCAAGCTCATCATAAATGCTACGGAGTGTGAACTATTGAACTTTTGACGTGGCTTTTTCCACGTTATATATAATTATAGTACAGATAAGAAGCATCGCACGTGGCCGAAATTCGCATAAACATTTCCGGTCTGCTTTTTACATTGAAACAATATTATTACATAATATCCGCTTATCGTTTGTCGTATAACAACGTGTCCGTGCACAAGTTAAAGGTCTTACCCCTCGACAGACAAAAGCGTGATATTGTAGTACCTTGCAACGTTTATGTGAAAACACAATATTCCCGTGAACGATTTATTTAATCTTACAATAGCTGTTTATCTGTACTACGGTTTCGCTTGCAGCTAATACCACCCGAAATTATATTATTTCAGAGTTCCAAAATATTAAATCTGTTTAATACTCATGGCCTGGTTTGAATATAATGCCGTTAAGTGGTATGGTAATCGGTAGAAGAAACGAGAGAAACAAATTTCGGCCATATTACTGTTAAACTAAATGAATATCATTTATACTAATAAATTCAGTTTTTCTTAAAAATTAAATATATTTTCACGTGCTTAAAAAAAGCCTATTTTACTAATATATTTTGTGCTAAACTAATCGATTCCTTATAAACCGATCTTGTATTCGGCTTGGCCTAGAAATCAAACAGTTTTAACATCGCGTTAGAAATAATGTGTTCTCGTGAATGACTGTCAGGAGTAGGAATTTTTTTTAATTTTCATCAAACCGCTATTCTGGCCATATTAGAATTTTATTTATTCTCATTTTAGCTATAACTCGTATACATGCATCTAAATTAAAACAATTTGCTGAAAAAGTTAATAATAGGTCAAGACTTTAATGAGAAAATCTATAAAATTCGAAAACTTATTTTGTCTTGCGTTCAGTATTGGTTTTCAAAGACATTATGTTTGTACTATATTTTTATTTGGACATTTGCTTTTTGATAATGATTTTTTCTAGTTTTTTTTCATAAATCTAGTTTTGAAAGTCCCACCTCTGGTGACTGTGGTTTAAGTTACTATCGTCTCGGTATTCCCGTCAAACCCCCGTTGCTCGAGCGTTAAATTTTTGTACTGCATTGCACGTCATCTTATGTGTTTTCGTACAACAATAATTATCGTCAAAAAATAATAATAATATGCGTGTACTTATTACATCCACAACACTGCGCAGTTTATTTTGTTCGCCGTTCTCGGTTAACAAACAACTGCGCCACATGCGTGCATATTACATATAGTTGCCGGTAAATACCAATATCAAAGAAGAGCCGTTTACACACGCACGCGGTGACATTTTCTATCGAAAATAAACAACAGCGATATTTACTCAACGAGCTTTTCCCTCTACCCCTCCCTTGTCCCCTAACGATTCACGTGCAAATTCTAAACGGCATACACAAAACGGATTGATAGGTACTACGAAGATCCGCAGGAGTCGTCTATGCGAAAATAAATTTTTTTTTTTTAAATATGCTCGCCCAAAACGACGGTAGCCTAATATAGTTATAGGAAAGTATAGATAATAATCCGTCGAGTTTGACATCCGGTTGTGTGTATTAACGAAAAGGTCGGCATCGTCGTCGTGTCTTAAGTTTTTATCTGTCTATTCTCTCGGCTATATAATAAATAATATATATATATATATATATATATATGTATGTACATAATATACTTTTTATTATAAACGACTATTTCGCTTTAGTGGAACGTCTAACGGGTTTTTTTTTTGTGTGCGCATGACTCATGACGAGTCCCCTCCGTCACTCGCCGTCTTTAACATATTATTATTATTATTATTGTAATAAGTATAAGTATAGGTATAATATATATCATACTTGCTCGAAAGGTATACACGCACTAATAGCTAATATTCGCCGACTACGACAACGCCGGCCGTTACTACCACCACCTACTAGATATTATTTTGTAATTCTATATAAATATATTAGTTACATATCATATACTCTTTACACGGCGATTATATTGTATACTGTGCCGATGTCGCGGCTATGGGTTATGGGTGTTTTATATTCTACAAAGAAGACCTACCGCCTCCCGTATGTGTAATGTACATTATATAGTACAATTATAATAGCCGGCTGTTACCCGGACAAGTGCAACGATCCTGCGGTATGCGCGACGCGAAAAAGAATGTGCTATTTTTTTCCCCCTCGACAAGACGACGACGATACGTCTTAGTAATAATAATTATTATTTTTATTATTATTGTTATTATTACTCACCTATAGCGTCCAACGATTCCCTGGACCCGTGTGTGGTACAATACGAGTGTTCGGCCTTGATTGGGGCATTGCCCAACAGCGCGTCGGTCATCAGACGGTCGTGGAGAACCACGTGAGAATTCGACCGGCCGTTGCCGCCGATCAACCAGTCGGACGGGTCTTCGGCCCTAAGAGTTTCGCCCAAATCCTGCAAACACACAAACGAACAAATAATAATAAAAAAATCCGTTAAAAAAAAAAAAAATGATATACATAATACAATTAAAAAAAAAACCGCTCCTCGTCGAAGTCAAAAACGAGTTATTGTCGAAATAAAATCCTTTCGAGTTTCACACGTACAAGCTACAAAGCAATACATAATATCGACTGCTAAAAGAAAAGTGATTTTGCATATTCCTCATCCAGGGAAAAAGACAATACTACAAAAAATGAACGATACTCGATGGGTAATAACGTTATTTAATATTCTTAAAATGATACAATATTTTTTTAAGTGGTTAATATGTAGAATTATAAACAGTTAGATTACTTATATTATGAAAGGGAGTTTTTGCAGAAAAATTATCGTGTTAGTATGCGCGCGTTAATGAGTAATTTTATCAAACATGAACTTTTGAACTTTTGACGTGGCTTTTTCCACGTCATATATAATTATAGAACAGATAAGAAGCATCGTACGTGGCCGAAATTCGCATGAACATTTCCGGTCTGCTTTTTACATTGAAACATTAAAATTATACATTAACCGCTTATCGTTTGCCGAATAATAACGTGTCCGTGCACAAGTCAAAGGTTCAACTTCTCGACTGACAAAATCGTTATGTAATTATCATAATATCTTGCAACATTTTTTTCAAAAAAAAACAATATTTCTTTTTACCGTACTTACTTTACCCTATTTATTAAGGAGTTAGGTAAAGACAATCCATTGCAAATTCTTAATTTAAAGCTTAAACTGTAATGTGTAATTGTTAGTTTAGTAATCAGAACACTTTTTTGGTAGTTAACTTATTTTTCGGACTATCATAGCATCATTGTCGGTGGTTTCAAATATTTTTTTCATCACAGTTCGTAGAGTGCGTTTTACTAGGTCCATGGTTGTTTTAGACCAAAAACACCTATTATGAAATCGAAAGATAACAACAATGTTTTAGAGACAATGTCATATTTTATTTTGAAAATAACGAGAAAAAAATAAAAAAATATGATTTTTAAATTTAAAATTTTAAGCTAAATATTAGGTTTATCAAAAAAGGGTATGACGTTGTCTCAAAAATCTTGTCATGTTTCGTTTTTGTTGTAGGTATTTTTGCTCTAAAATTATCATGGAGCAAGTAAACGCATTCTGCATAGGTATGTTTTAACGTTGGAAAATTAGCTGTACGGCGTCGTCCTCTAATAATAATAATATAATTTATTGTATTACAATACAATACAGCACACCTTTTCCATTTCTGATTGTACGATGCTGCGATTAAACAATGAAATCATATTTCTGGTGGTCAACCTGAGGCAAAATGCCAGTTACTCGTACATACCGTGTACACACAACCGGCTCATTACAAATTATGAATACAGCCTATTAACGGTGTATAAGGGTCATACTAATGCATTTTAAATCCCGCCGGCTTAGCCGAGTTGAGTTAGGTTAGGAGTTAGGACACGCATGGAGTCTCCCGCGCACGTGTCAGATACTCATAGTCATACAGTACCGTATAGATAATAATAAAAATAATAATAATAGTAGTAGACACACTAGCAGCCTTACAGGGCTTTAGAAGATAACCACAGGGAATCCATTATTGGACCGGATGCGACTTAAGTACCTTCAACGGCTCGGCGGTAGCAGTCACACGCGAATGACAGTGATTCGACAACTTTTGTCCGATAATATTATATTATAAGCTGCGGCTTAAGCTGTCGTTAAATACGTGGCGCGTGAAATCACATTAAGCGTGATCCGTTATGAGCTTCAGTCGTCCGTTTTATGACAATTCGATATTCTCATAATTATTATTATAACCTATCGGTAAACAAATTTTAAAATGTACTTATGACTAATACTACCTATCTATGTATGACTCACATGCATTCGATTGCTTGTCGGTCACTGTTAAGTGGCATTCATAAATCTCATCGAAGTTCTATATAATAAAAACGAGGACTTATATATTTTATTGACTATAAGTACTGCGTCGCGTTGAATGTAAAACGTATTCGGCACATACCAACGTTGCGAAAATATTTTGTAAACCGATCTGATGTACAGCGAAATGTAAATAATATTGTATTATTATTATGAAAACATTGGAAACCTAACGGCGCAAATTGTGTCTCGTGTCTATAAACAACGGTTAAACGCATAGCGTTGGCTGTTTTTTTTCCTTGCCGTTATCCATTCAATACAGGCAATATCATGTTGAAAGTAGGTATACGCCGTTCCGGGTATATAATGGAAAGACAATGATATGATGTTTGTATATTTACATATAATTTGAAGAAAAAAAATGAATAGCTGGGTTAATTGTAAGTTTGCTCTAGTTACAAAAAAATACCACCATCGATTCCCTAACTTATTGTAATTTTCAAGCTGGCCACCAGGGGGCGAGGAGATATGGATTCTACCACTAGGTTCTCAAACTAATATCAACGATACATTATTTTTACACATTTCTTGTATTACAAAATACGATACTTATTGAATTCGTAGATATTGTTTTAAGTCAAGTAAAAAATATAATACAAATATCATTAGGGAAAAGATTATGCGAAACTGAAACGTTGTTACAATAATATTTTCGGAACAATAAACTACAAATGTGATGTAGTAATGGTCACAGATCGTTGACGGTATCCTTTAATTATTCGTGTAAACGTCAACCGTATAATGTAAAATCTGTAATAAAATTAATTTACAACACCGACGGGGTCTGACGGGCCAACATAATAATATTGTAAATCCCCTACAGGCCGAGGGTCAAGGCGGACCGTCGGCGTCGGTCACAGCATCGGGCTGGCAATTTATTTCCACGAGACCGCATGAGCCGGTACAGAGCGGAAAACGAGTTTTAAGTTATCGTACACGTTTCCTAGGCTAAGAAGCACATAATATTATAATGCATACGATATTCTCACTTGACTCTGGTCCTCGATTCGCGCATAATTATCGTTGTCGAAAAAAATAGAATTTTGTAAGTTATTTAAAATCATATAAACCATGGATTTTTTTCTCTCGAATATTAGATATTATTTTTATTTGGCATTCATCCGTGTGAATACATGTTGAACGATGTATTTAAAAAAAAAACAAGAAAACATTTTGTGTTTATAATTTTGTGTGTAATATATGCGCACACGAGTAAAAAAAAAAAAAAAAACCCAGACAGTTACACATTATGTTGTATTGTACATATTAATTGGCACCCTACAGGCTTTGGAATTCTTCCATGCCCGCAGACGACGAACATCAAAAACGAATTGAATATCACAACGTTTTTTTAATAAGAAAATGCGTTAGCTCTTTGAGCACAGGTACTGTTGTACTACTTATGTAACCATGCACCGCACCACACGGACGTTTTCTCTATATGCGGCGCAAACGGAATGGTATGTATATTATAATAATAATAATTCTTGTGAAAAGTTCTTGGGACTGTTATTGGATTCTTCATAAGCGCACATAACTCGGCTATTGTTACTAATTGAACACTCGCAGCGAACGGTGCAACCGCCAAGTGCTGCCGGTTGACGGTTTTCGAGAGGTTCTATTTTTTCTTTTAATTTCAAATGCATTTCTATGCGAACGCCTTTCTCCCCCGACCGGGCTCTTTCTCTCCCCTCGCGCTTAGTGGTGCGCGCACGCCACGCCGTGTACTTTCACCACCGACCGCCGCCGAATATAGGTAAACTTCTCGTGCACGTTCAGAACAAGAGCAACGCGAAAAAAAAATCCTATATGTATCAGCACGCCCACTACATTGTTGGATATTTTCATATACGAAAGCCACGCCTTTGCCAAATATTTACTCTATCAACCGGTTATTTCATTATAATCTTTTCTCTCTCTCTCTCTCTCTACCTATCTCTATCCATTACCTTTCTCCGAGGCCCGACCGTTTCTTAGAACGCAACACCGACAGCGTCGCGTGCATAAGGCGGCCGGCCGTTATAGCTTCAAACGGACGGTGTACAGTGCAGGTCATACTAAAGCTGTCTATAACGATTGCGGGCAGCTTATGCCGGTAAAATATTATATTGTGTCGCGAAAAAAAAAAATCCAAAAAACATACATGCGCGGAAAATAAATAAAATTAATCGGTTCCCGCCAAAACCGTGTGTTTTGCCACCTGACCAAACATTGTAACGAGGACCGCCGTGTCATACGGATTAAGCTTTTGACGTTAAATGTAATTTATAAAGGCAAGGGCAGCTCGGCGCAGTTACAACGCTGACTACGATAAATGTAATATGCACGTATAACAACTATTAAAAGTATAGAGTGTTCACTGTTCAACATTCTATAACGCAGTATTAAAATATTTTTTAGTTGATATAACGCAATTTTATTAAAAAAGGTTGTTTTATAATATGATTAAATGTTAATTAGTGTTAAGCAAAAGTATACTCTTATAATGTTTGATTTTAAAGTATTTTACAACAATGAATCACCCCTTTACACACAATCCCCTCCTCTTCCTTCCTCACTCTTGTTTAAAAGGTGTCGCGAAATGATGATGATGATGACGCAAAAAGGAGTCACGAAATTGATGACGATGACGTACATTATTTTTGTGTATCCAGCCCAAAAGCATATTCAAGTTAAAATTGTTAAAATAAATAATAACTATAAAGATAACAAATAACAATGGTTCATCGTATATTAGATGGGTGTGTATATTAACATTTGGAATCCAAATCACAAATGGTGTACTATATAGGTATTACTATACAAATAATTTGTTTTTTTTTTCGAATAATATAAATATATATATATATATATATATATTTATTTATTTTTAATAACTATCAACATATTTTACTATGTAGACGGTAGACATGTTCAAAAAGTTTTAAGAAAAAATATTAGCTCGAGTAACTGTAATTTGTACAAGTGTTTACATATATATTTGTTATAAAAATAATACATATTCTTAAAAAGCTACTTGTAATAAATATAATTAAATACTC